CATGCGCGCGGTTCGCGGAGGACGTGGATGCGGCGGGCCCACGCGCAGCCTCACGGCTCACCGCGGACCATGCGCACGGGGGGGGGGGGGGGAACGGAGGGAGCGGCTGGCCGGGTCAGCCGATCCGGTCATGTCAAGGTGGCTCCGACGTGGCGCCTACGTGGCTGCCACGCGGGCCGGCTGGAGGAAGACGAAGGCGTCGGCCGCGAATGGACGGCGGGCGGCGGCGGTTTCTCCGGGACGCCGTGCGACGACGAGGGGCGACGGGGTGTACACCGGGATGACGAGGGAGAACGAGAGGGAGCGAGCCAATGGCTTGGATTCGCCGGCGGAGAGAAAAGGGGGAAACGGCGACGAGGTCATGAGGAGCCGATTCCCGGCGGTGAGAGCCATAAGGAGGAAACGCATTGAGGGAGACCGGCAACGAGAGACGCTTCCGAGCTCGGGCGGCGACAGCGGCGAGCACACGGCGAGCGACGGCAGCAGTCGAGGCGGCGCCAGCTAGCTACTGGGGTACTACTCGAGCGGCTACTCAAAGCTAAGGGGAGGAGATGGAACGAGGAGGGAGAATGGAGGGAGGCACTACCGTGCGGGGTGATGGGGCGCAGTGACGAGAGGCCGACGGCACGGGAGTGATCTCTCCGGCCTCGGGCCGGGGAAGCGGAGGAAGGCGAGCGCCCGGAGTCCCCTTCCGCGTCCTAGCGCGCATAGGCTCCTCCGGCACACGCGACTGCGGCGGTCGGTGAGAGAGACAGAAGGACGGCAATGGCGCGGGCGAAAAGCGGGGAAGATTGGGAGGGGAAAAAGGAAGGGAGGGCGCCTGGGTTCATAGGGCGGCAATGTCGGTTTGGAAACCGACCTTGGGCGGTCAAGGCGCGAGCTGGCGCTCGGCGCTCGTGGCCAAAACGGCGACAGAGGCGGATGACGCCGGCGGGGAAGGGAAAAGGAAAAAGGAAGGGAGAAAGGGGGGGCTTGCCCCTTGCCACTTTGGGGAAAAGGAGGAGGGAGAGAGGGCGACGTGGCAGAGGGGGAGAGCTCTGCCTCCGTCCCTTGGAGGTTAGCGCGCGAAGTGGCGGGGCCGGGTCGATGACGACGGCGATGACGGCGGGGGCGGTGTGGAGCGGAGCAGCGACACGGGCGGCAGGCGCGGACAGGCGCGGCAGAGGCTGACGGCGGCGGCGACCAGGCGGTCGGCCACCACGGCACGCGCGCGCGCGGGCGGCGCGGCGATTTGGGCGGCGTCGGCGGGAACGGCAGCGAGAGCGGAGAGGGAGGGCTCGGCGCGGCTCGCGGGCAGAGCGGGGAGAGAGAGAGAGATGGGGAGGGAGGGAGAGATGGGCCGAGAGGAATTCGGCCCATCGAACCTGAGGGAGGCAAAATAGACTTTTGCGGAGGGATTTGATTTGGGAAGGATTTTGATTCGGGATTGAACTTGACGATAGATCGGGGATTTGAGATCTGAGATGGCACGGACACTAAACGACAAGCAAAGAAACAGATTTCGCAATTAGGGTTTCTAAGAGATAGTTTTCCTGCTAGGCGCCACGACGGAACGGGCGCTACACCTTTCAGGTTATATATTGCTGCACAGGAGTTGGTGATTGGTGTGGTTTTGACGTAAGAAGACGATGGAAAGGAGTATGTTGTGGCTTATTTGAGTCGTCGTTTACTGGACACTAAGAGCAGGTACGTGTTTATTGAAAAATTATGCTTGTCTTTGTATTATGCGTGCACTAAATTTCGTCATTATTTGCTTTCTAATACTTGTACAGTAACTTGCCAAATTGATGTGATTAAACATATGTCGCAACAACCGATCCTTAGTGGTAGAATTGGGAAGTGGGCTTATGCATTGGTAGAATTTGATTAATTATATGAACCATTGCGTGCTATGAAAGGTCAAGTGGTTGCTGATTTTATTACTGATCATATGGTTAAAAGTGACCACGATATTAATTTTGTTAATTTGTGTCCATGGAAACTTTATTTTGATGGATCGGTTTGTAGCAATGGGCAAGGTATAGGTGTCGTCTTAGTTTCTCCAAATAATATTTCTTATGAGACATTGGTCCGGTTAGAATATCCTTGTACTAATAATCAGACCGAATACGAGGCTGTGTTATTCGGTTTACAGAGTTTGGTTGATATGGGTGTGAGGGATGTAGATGTTTTTGGTGATTCACTTTTAGTAGTTCGACAAATTAACGGGGAGTTTCAGTGTTTTGATGGACTGCTAAATAGCTATTTGGACCGATGCTTGGATTTGATTAAGTTGTTAGACACTTTTACCATTAAACATATTCATAGGGAAGAGAATAGTATAGCAAATTACTTGGCACAACAAGCATCTGGCTATTAGGTTAAGAGATGATTGTTTTATATATCAGAGAAGCCGGTGTTCAGTTTGCCGGGTATTGATTCGGTGCCATTTAGTACTGGGGCTTGTACCGAATTAAGTGTAACTAGTGTGGGAGGTTTTGTGTGTGCATGTGGCAAAATTGAGAATGATGTACATGAGCATGTCCCTGGTATTAGTACTCCAGTGCGTAGGGTAGTAGCTGGTAGATGCATTTCCTATGAGATAGATGGTTCGGCCACAGTAGGCGCGAGACATGCTGAACCAAATAGCAGTAGCACTGGTTTGTTTGAAGTAGCAGTGGATTTTGAGCCGGGTGATTGGAGAGAGACTTTAGTTAATTGTTTGAAAACCCCGGGTCAAACGAAGGATAGGAAGGTTCAGTGACAGGTTTTGAAATATACTCTATTGGATGATGAATTATATCGCCGAACCATAGATGGGTTATTATTAAAATGTTTGGGTCTAGATCAATCTAAAGTGGCCATGGGAGAAGTGCACGAGGGAATTTGTGGGACACATCAGTCGGCTCATAAGATGCAGTGGTTATTAAAGAGAGCAAGATTTTATTGGCCCGACAATGTTGGAGGATTGTTTTCGGTATTATAAAGGGTGTGAAGCATGTCAAAAATTTGGGAATATACAATTAGCACCCGCGGCTATGTTGCATCCTATTGTCAAACCATGGCCATTTAGAGGATGGGGTTTAGATTTTATAGGTGAGATACATCCTGCGTCTTCTAAGGGTCATCGCTTCGTCCAGGTTGCTACGGATTATTTTACTAAATGGACAGAAGCGATTCCTTTGAAAAACATGACCCATAAGGAGGTTATTGATTTTGTATTAGAGCATATCATTCATAGATTCGGTATTCCTCAAACAATCAAGGAGCATCTTTTATGTCTCATCAATTTAGTGAGTTTGCCTAATCATTTAGAATTAAATTGCTGAATTCGTCGCCTTACTATGCTCAAGCTAATGGACAGGCCGAATCCAGTAATAAAATTTTGATTAAACTTGTAAAGAAGAAAATAGAGGAACATCCTAGGAGGTGGCATGAGGTGCTTTCTGAAGCTTTATGGGCTCATCAGATATCCAAGCATGGTGCTACACAAGTGACACCGTATGAGCTAGTTTATGGACAGTAGGCTGTGTTGCCTGTAGAGGTAAATTTACAAGCACTTAGAGTAGCCAGGCAAAGTGATTTGTCGGTTGCTGATTATAGAAACTTAATGTTGGACAGGATAGATGATGTTTCCGAGGAAAGATTAAAAGCCTTGAGAGCAATTGAGAGAGAAAAATTGAGAGTAGCTAAGGCTTATCATAAAAAGGTATGGGAAAAATTGTTTCAAATAGGTGAGTTAGTATGGAAAACGATTTTGCCGATTGGTGCTAGGAGTAGTAAGTTTGGTAAGTGGTCGCCGAGCTGGGAAGGTCCATATGAAATTATAGAAATTGTTCCTGGAAATTCATATTTTGTTCAGTCTTTGCAGGGGAAAAAGTTGCCTAAAGCTCTTAATGGGAAGTATTTGAAAAAATATTATCCTAGTGTATGGCAGGAAGCTTAATTATTTTAGAACTGATATTGTTTTGGCAGTATCGTTTTGGGAGGAAAATTATGGATTAGCTTAGGACTGATATTATGTTGGAGTATCGTCCTGGGTGGTTTATTTTTATGTGTTTTCGGTACAAGTAATTTAATTATTTATACCGAAAACAGGGGGACATGTGTTTGTGGCATAATTTGGCTCATAGTTAGTTTGTTTGAGCAGGCCAAATTGTTTAGATTAGTCTGTTCAAGTGGCTGATGATTTGCTTGGAAAATCCATTTAATTTGTATATGCAGGGATTAATGCATCAAGAAGATTATGGGTGCAAATTGTAGGTGTGTTGAGGAGATGTTCGATGCACTGAAATTTTTACAATTTGGTCCTTTTTGAAAACTTATTTTACAAATAGACCCCTGGGAAAACTTAAACCGGAAATGGTCCTTTTTGGGACGCCAGAGTGGCTGGCGCCGTACCCCAACATGGCGGCGCCAGCCACACTGGCGCCGTGCCCGTGCCACCGTGGCAATAGGGCTGTCGTGGAGGTGCTGACTAGGCCGAAGGGGGCGCCAGCCAAAGTGGCGCCGCCCCTCATAGCACGGCGCCAGCATGGATGGCGCGCCCCTCCTCTGCGGGCCCCACCAACTTTCTCCCCCCCCCAAATTTTCGCCAAGTCTGTTCTGCCTCCAGGCAACGGCTGGTGCCCCCCCCGACCGCGGCGCCAGGGTGGCTGGCGCCCCCCTCCTCCACCCATCGAAGCCCTTCTGCCTCCGGGCCTCGGCTGGCGCCGCCCTCATGGACCACGGCGCCAGGGTAGCTGGCGCCGCCCTCCCCCAGCCCGAAACCCTTCTGCCTCGCGGCACTGGCTGGCGCCGCCCTCTGCCTCCCTGCAAATTGTAGATCCATATTGCACAAATGTACCAATTCACAGTTCGCAATTCAAATCATAATTCACAGATTCGTACAGACTAAAACAAGTTCCAATTGCACAAATCACAATGCCAAAAGTCCATCACATAGTCCTCACATAGTCCATCACATATTCCACACATTAAACAATGCCAAAAGTCCATCACATATTCCACACATCAAACAATGCAAAAAGTCCATCCTATATTCCACACATGAAACAATGTCAAAAATCCATCACATAGTCCTCACATAGTCCATCACATTTTATATCACATAGTGCACCACATATGTCATACTACCAACTAATAAATTAACTTCATACAAATTACTTCTTCCGTTGGCACCGAATTGCTTGCGAGCCCGGAGTGTACCTACATTTGAAAATCCAATGTTTAAAACATTTTAAAAACAAAATAAGGGAAATCAAATAACATTTGAGAATGGTAAGCTCATTTTACCTCTTTTTCGCTGCCCGAGTGGATCGCAAGTTGTATTGCGTGGGTTGCGTCCCCTGAGGCGCGTCGGGAAGCTGTGACATGTCTATCTCCTCGGCGTCTGGTGCGACGTAGTCCTCATCCTCCTCGTCCTCATCGTCATCGTCGTCGCTAGGTGGAGCCGGCGCCTTCCCCTTTCCCCTCCCTTGCTTAATGCGTGACGACGACGAGCCACCAACTCCTTCACGCTCTTCTATCCTGATGGAGTGTCGAGCAGTACTTGGACGCGCGGATTGAGGTAGTGGTGGTGGTAGTCTCCCCGGTTGGTACACGTCGTCCAATCCAACCGACCTGCAACCTAATCTTGCTGCAAGTTTCCGGCACCTTTGACGAACTTTCTGCATTTCAAAAAAAAAAAAGAAGTTTGTTAGGCATAACTCAAGTAATGCAAAGTGCTAAATAAATTTTACCTCTAAAACATTGCGGAGCGTGTTCTCCGTGTCCTCACCACCCCTCGGAGCTTGGAGGGCATGCCCCATTTCATTCACACTCCTGAGGAGCTCTCTCGACTGAAAGCGTGAAAAGATATATGTTAGGGTCTAGGGTGCAAATGTAAGTAACTTTGACAAATGCAAGAAAACTTACGACTCTGCCTCTAAGTGGGGCGTGCTCCATTTGATATCCAACTCTAGTCCGGACATCATAGGGATTCCGCCCCTCATCGGAGTCGCGGTCATCCTCTATGTCGGCTTCCGTCCAAGTAGGGCAGAGGAACAGTCTATATGTCCTATGCAGCCAACGAAGGTACTCTGAGAAAAGATGATTTTGGTGTATAGTTTCGATATACCTATCGTTCCTTCCGGCTGTTCTCCATTCATCAATGTATCTATTATGCTCTAGCCCCCAGTCTTTTACCTTCTTTGTTCTCACCCTGTCATACCTAGACAAGTAGAAGGTGATGAAATAGTAGTGAGCATCGACAAGGGTTAAATGGTACAAAATTGAACATTGACAATGAAAGCAAACAAAGATAAGAAATATTTACTTGTGTAATTCAACTCCAGTTGAGATGTCCTCAACCGGCCAATCTTGTTTCTTCCCGAACTGTCGCATGACACGGTGCGGAAGGTGGTACTCAACTGCCCAGAAACAAATCAATGGGCACTGGTACATGAAATAGTCAGAGTCTCGATTGCACATCGAGTTCAGGGTCAGGCTTGAAGCCTCATTTGTGTGGTATGGTATGTCTTTTTCTGCTTATCGAAACACCTTGCAGTGTGTTTGTTCGCCTTACTTTCTTGCACCTTCATCTTACTGTCAACCTTGGTGGACCAACGCTGCCCTAACTGGACTCGCTTCAAAGCTTCATCATGTCTGTTCACAAAGTAGTCATTACACTTCATGAACGTAAATGATACGATGGCCGTCACTGGAAGCTTACGAACACCAACTAGCACGCTATTGAACTGTTCGGCCATGTTGGTTGTCATGTAACCCCACCGGCGGCCATTTCTATCGTATGCACGAGACCACTTATCTTTATCCAACAACTCATCTTCAAGCCATTTACGAGGACCTTCAGGAATACGCTGCCTTAGTGCCTCAACATCCCTCTCAAATATCCACTTCTCGTCAATCTGACATATCCTTAGGAGCTCTTTTGTCTGATGCTTGTCCGCACCGGCCTTGTGGAAATTAGCACTGAAGTGCCTCATGCACCACCGGTGGTGAACCGATGGCAATCCTGGAACAGGAGTCATCATGGCATTCATTATACCAGCATGTCGATCTGAGATAATACAAACCTCCCTATGCGGCCCAACCACAACCCGTCGGACAAGATCGATAAACCAGCACCAGTCTCGTGAATTCTCTTTCTCCACCAAGGCAAAAGCTAAAGGTACAAGTTGGTCCTCCGCATCAGCTGATAATGCAGTCATCAAGGCACCACCGTATTTCCCAGTTAGGAAGGTTGCATCTATAGCTAGTACTGGCCTACAATGCTTAAAAGCCTCAATGGAAGGACCAAAGCACCAGAATGCACGCATAAAAATTTTCTTGGTCACTCCATCAACGTTGACAACCCTATCAGGATGAGTATCGATGTGGTAGACCATACTGGGATTCCTCTGCTTAATGGCTTGCAGCAAAGTGGGCAAACGGACATACGCTTCACCCCATTCACCGTAAATGAGCTTCATAGCCTCCTCTCGTGCCCTCCAAGCCTTGCCATACTTCACCCTATACTGGAAAACCTCAAATATATACAAAGCTAACGCAGAAGCAGAGAGTGTAGGTTGCAGTTTTATGGCATTGCATAACCTATTTGCTATGAACTTTGATGTCAGTTGCCGGTGGCTCCCTGAACCTTCGGCAGTAGCACAACTATGTTCCTTACCTACCCGTGATATCCTCCACGTGCCACTAGACCTCTTAGTTGCATGGACCTTCCATTTGCACCGTGGGTTTTCACATTTAACAGTGTACCTCCTATTTGCGGCAAAATTGACAACACGGTATGGACGATGGTGCACGATGGCGTACTCTTGGAGCCATAGCTTCAATGCGACCATGGATGGGAACTCTAAACCCTTTCTGAGACCATCCACCTGGAATGGTTCTGGCAACTGATCTAGGTTGATGCCGCCATCTACTAGTGCACCATGGGCATGTGTTAGGTCCCTAAACTCAGGAATGTCCGGCTTCCTCCCAAACACCTTCTCAAACGCACGACATTCCTCTAATGCTAACTTGTCATTATTAGTAAGTGGAGGGAATGGACGGTCATCATCAGAGTCTTCAGCAAATTCAACATCATATTGCTCAACACTTGCCTCCTCGTCAACATCATCTCTATTGACTTCTACTGAGACAGAATCGTGACCACCACTCAATTCGACATAAAAGTAATCATCTGGATTCACATATTGGCCTGCTACTTCTGTCGGGTATTCAGGGTTGACTCCGTATGACGACCAATGAACACTCGCCGACAAATGTTCACTTAGATCAAGCCCCTCTTGTACTAACTCCCTTTTCATCACCCTCGCTGCATCCACATCATCAGTACCGCAATGTCTCTTTGATGGTCCTGCCTCCCATAAATCATTTCCAAGCAAAGGTCTCTTCTTCTCTCCTTCACCCTCCAAGTCTTCTCGTACCAACTCACTCTTACTTGCACCCCCTCCACGACGAGAATAATATGTCACAAAATTCTTCTCAACGTAATGATAAGAAGGAGATTTGTTTAGATCCAAATTTTCTACGGTACGAACTAACTTTGATGCAAACACCTCTAGAGATCTAAACTGAGACTCTTTTACCAAATCAAAGTAAACTTCCCATTCCAACTGACCTATCACATTTAATATATACTTATGCCCTTGACCAACATCGTATCTCCCATAAAAACGAATCTCCACATTATCCTCGGTCCATCCAAGAACTTCTTTCACTCGTGACCTTAGTTCATCTAGAGTTGGGTGGGTGGGAAACAAAATAGTCTTCAATGACATATCCTCAAACTCAACATGTCCACCAACATAAGGTTCCACCACTCTACCACCGTAGTAAACACGAACAAGTCTATCCATCTACACCAAAAAATCAAATGTAACTTTGTAACAAAAATTAAATCTTCATTTCTAAACGTAGTCCAAACCGACATATTATAACAAATGCATAACTTAAATTGTCCCAAAGCTACTACTCCAAAAAAATATTTAATCCACCTACAACTATCAACAAGTTTACTACTGCATTACACATCGAAATATTACAAATACTCTATCATACAACCCAAACCTCCGTCATGCCTCAACCATAATTTTTCATCCATCCATCCAACCAAACCATCCAAAAATTAACATTACCACATATATGGTTAAAAAATTCATGACACCAATGAGTACATTGCAAACATGTAGCACTACAACAAGCCAATCCTAAGAACAAATGCTAAAAATCACAAATTTGGGTAAAAAAGGGGTTCTAGGGTTACCCACCGATCTACAAATTCAACCAATAAAAATGAAAAAAAAAGAGGGGGGAATGAAGGAGTCTACCTTTCTCTTCGATTTCCATAAAAAAATCCCGCGAAAAACGGCTTCAAATTGAGTGGATTTGAGGTGGAGAGGTGAGGGGGAGAGAGAGGGAGAAGAACAGCAGCTCGCTGCTCGGGCTGGGAATGGTGAAAATGGGAGTGGGGAGGAGAAAGGTGGTGGGGCCCACGGGGTTTAAGGCACAGAGGAGGGGCGCGCCAGCTATGCTGGCGCCGTGGTATGAGGGGCGGCGCCAGTGTGGCTGGCGCCCCCTTTCTGCCCAGTCAGCACCTCCACGACAGCCCTAGTGCCACGGTGGCACGGGCACGGCGCCAGTGTGGCTGGCGCCGCCATGTTGGGGTACGGCGCCAGCCACTCTGGCGCCCTAAAAAGGACTATTTCCGGTTTAAGTTTTTCCAGGGGTCTATTTGTAAAATAAGTTTTCAAAAAGGACTAAATTGTAAAAATTTCAGGTTCGATGCATGCAAGTTGCTTGGAGGCTACAGTTTTCAGCTTTTGTCAGTTGTGTTGCAGTTGGTGCGTTCCTGTCATCCTGTGTTGTCAGTGCTTTCATGCAAGGGATGGAAGTCTGCATGGCTGCCTATTGTTGCGTGAGGGATTTGGTAGGCGTATGCAGCGGTGCGGCGAGGCAGTTAGAGACATATTTTATTCTTATCAGATTGATTTCCTTTCAGTTAAGACTTTCCGTATTTTTTGTGTGGGACATCGATGTGCGCCAGTACATATACTGGTTACGCCTGTTTAGAGTCGGCTGGAACCATTATCAATCTATTATTTTCTCAGTTGCTTTTACCGTACTTTTGTTCTCCTCTTCTTGCCGAACCTAGTCACCTAGGGTGCAGTTGATCTTTACTTATTTGCGCTGAAAATCAGTCGGGTTCTTCCACGAAAATGAAGATCTTTACTAGTTTGCTCAAAAACTAGTCGTTCGTCGTCTGTTCAAGTAAACTGACTATGAGCCAAATTATGCCACAAACAGTAAGCTGGTCATCTCCGGCCGCCGTCGATCGCTATGGCGGTGAGACATTGAGTCTTGAGTATCAGTGTTGGGTGGCGCCCAAAGATGTACGGACACCAACATGGCAGCATGGAACAGGTTTGCTGGGCAGGAATTGGATTGGTCGACGACTCAAAAGGGGTTCGGAGTTTTTATCTCCAGACCCCTGGGCTGGATTTCTTTTCTTGTTTTTCTTAGCGAAGACAAAGGATCGAGCTGGATTCTTCTGTTTTTCAAGCGAGGGCTGAGAGGGGTCGGAGTTTCGTCTTATGTGGACTTCTTTTTTCCTGCGTATTCTCAAGGGATGGGAGGGGTTCGGAGTTTTATTCGCCGAACCCGCTTGGTGCCGATTTCTGAACATTTCTATATTCCATGTAATTTCCTGTTTTTGTCATAATTTAATTGACTTGGATTTGCATTGCCACTTCAACGACATGGGCAGGCATGGCTTTAGTGTGCACTGCAGAAGATTTTTGTTTCTAGCTGCGCAACGTATAGAATCCTCCACTAAGTGCAGCAAAATTCAGACAGAATTTCATCAACCAACTACACAACGACTGAATTCCTAGTACTTGTGCATCTGTACATTGCGAATTGTGATTACATAAACAACAGTAGAAGTATTTTCTGTTCGGGATCCAAATCCAAGACAAGAATACATACAGACAATCTGCAGAACCAATAAAACAAGCAATGGTTGCAAAACCAACAAGATATACATTATCATAGAGTTTCTTGGCATCTAGAGAACACAACCGGCCAACCGGGCTGATCACTACTGGCCCGTGCTGTTGTTCGTCAATGGGCTTCGTTCGCGTATTGGTGCCCTCCGACTTCCATCGATCGCCATGGCGCCCAAGGATGTACAGACGTTGGCGTGGGATTGGTCAACGGCGCAAAGGGGTTCGGAGGTTCTAAGGGCTGGATTTCTTTTGTGTTTTTCTATCTCTTTGTTAATAATGGATTAAGAATCCAGTCTCTACACCACAAGAACTTCATGGACGCGTTTCAAAAAAAAAAAAAAAAGAACTTCATGGACGGATGGGTCACGATGAGAATTCAGATTAACTCACAGTTTGTTCTGACATGACCATCGAAATCGAACTAGATTCTTCTATCGGATTTTCCCTTTTTTTACTTTTGTCAAGCAAGGGCAGGGAGGGGTCGGAGTGTTGAACTGTTGATCACCGAACCCTCGATGTGGACTTTTTTTCTGTCATATTTTCAACGGATGGGAGGAGGTGGTCGGAGTTTTCAGCGCTACAGAAGATATTTGTTTGTAGCTGTGCAACGTATAAAATCCTCTACTAGTGCAGGAAAATTCATAGTAAAAAATTTCTTCAACCAACAACACAGTGACTGAATTTCCAGTACTTCTGCATTGCGAATTGTGATTACAGAAACAAGAGCAGATGCATTTTCTGTTCGGGATTCAACTTACTTTAGTAATCCAAGACTGCAATACATACATAAATCTTTTTTTCTTTTGAAAAGAGGGCAAAAGTTTTTACCCCGTACTATGTATTAATAAAGTAGAGAGAACAATGTAAACATATTTACAGGGATACATACAGCAATTTTGCAGAACCAATAAAGCAAGCAAGCAATTAGAGTACTGCCTGTTCTGATGTTCTCTGATATACTATATCTGAACTTCTCAACAGCATATGCTCCGATCAATCCGCACACGTGAGAATGCGTGGAGTCGGTGAGAAGGACGACACACGATGTGAGGAGAGGCGAGCTTGGTCGGCGCACGAATGGAGCGTCCTGGACTCCTGGTGGTGGCAGGTGTCCGCCATTGTTAGAGCGCTTCGAGGGAGACGTCAAGAAATTCCACCGGAGTTGGCCACTGTCCGCGGTAGAAACGGGGCTCGTTTTTTGTTTTTTCTTTTTTCCTCCGGAGTTGGCCCACTTTGTTGCCGGCTTCACAAGGGCCATATGGCCCGCATCACGTCAGGCCCATTTCGCAGACGCCGAGTTTCCGCGGGCCCAACCCAACCCGGGTGTCTCGACGGACATGGAGTGAAATAAGTCCACTATCTCTCCCTCAACTCATGGCCGTGTATGAATAGCATTCCTCAACCGTAAAACCGGGTATAACCCATCCCCAACTCTGAAAACCGTTGCAAATCAAGTTTTAGAGGCGGTTTTGTCCTACGTGGTGCTTATGTGGCGGGTTGACTTGGTCTTCAACCTATGTGGCATCAACGTGGCGCTTACGTGGCACTAAAATAAAAAAACATTAAATGGAACCCACATGTCAGCAAGTAAACACAATAAAAATAATTTCTGGGCCCACATGTCAGTTACCTTTCTTCCCTCTCTTTATCCTCACCGCGAGTGAGATGGAGAGAGCTCCGTGAGCCCGGTGGCACCAGAACGGCGGGAGCGATGGGGTGGTGGGACCGCGGGAGAGGCGGGACGGCAGGACGGCGGGAGCTCGGCGAGCGGCGGGGCGGCGGGAGGAGACGGTAGCGGCGGCGATGGTCAAGGAGAAGAGGCGGTGGAAACGGTAGCGGCGGCGGTGTGGAAGCAGCAACAGCGGTAGGCCGGCCCGGCGAGCTCCCTCCCCAACACGCGACCGCCTTGCGAGCTCTCACCCTAGCGCGTGGCTTCCCGGCGAGCTCCTTCCCCCATGTGCGACAGGCCGGCGAGATCTCACCCTAGCATGCGGCCTCCCGGCGACATCCTCTCCCCGTGGGCAGCGGCGGTGAGGGAGGGGGCATCGGCCGGCGACGGGGGTGGCGGATTGGAGGGGGAAACGCGGCGGTGGCGGCAGGACGACGATCTCCTCTCCCTACGCGTGGCCTCGGCAAGATCCTCTCCCCGTGGGCGGCGTCAGCGGGGGAGGAGGGGGCATCGGCCGGCGACGATGGTGGCGGATTGGAGGGGGAAACGCGGCGATGGTAGCAGGCCGGCAAGATCCTCTCCCCGTGGGCGGTGGCGGTGGGGGAGGAACTCGCCGGGAGGTCGCAGCCGACCGCGCACAGGGGAGGAACTCGCCAGGCGCCGGGAGGTCGTGAGCGGCCGGGTGCGGGGGAGGAGCTCGCCGGGAGGCTGCGGCCGGCCGGGCGCAAGGGAGAAGCTCTCCGGGATGAGAAGGGCGCCGCTGCCCGGCCGAATCCGCCTCCGCACGTGCGGCTGCAAGAAAAAGATAGAAGGAAGGAAGAAGATAAGAAAAAATGGACTGACAAGTGGGCCCCACCATTTGTTTTGTTTTAACATTTGTCACTTACATATGGGACCCACTTATATTTTCAATTCCTTTGATGACCTGGCTGCCACATCAGCACATTTGGACCAAGTCAGCCTGCCACGTAAGCGTCACGTAGGACAAAACCGCCTCCAAAATCGTCCAGGGAGTTGATTTGCAATGGTTTTCGAAGTTGGGGATGAGTTATACCCGATTTTGTGGTTGAGGAATGTTTTTCTTAGAATGCCATGAGTTTAGGGAGGGAAGTGGACTTATTCCACACGGAGTCGCGTCCAAGCGTGTTAGGCTTTCGAACGATCCGAGATTCCGTCCAGATATTCCACGCGATGTAACGTTGATACGAGTTTTTATCCACGAGCAAATAATGTTGTCCGGTTTGCAGTACTCGAGTAGTCGCCTCAAGTCTTCGCAGTGGTTTACATAGGCGTGTTCGTCAAACTTTCTGTGCCAGATTGACAATGAAATTAGTACTACTCCCTCCATTCCATTTTAAATGCAGTTGTGGATTTTTGTGTCTGACAGTTGATCGTTCTTTTATTTAAAAAATTTATGATAAAATTTAAAAAATAAGACGCATAAAATATTATTCATGTTTTATTATCTAATAACAATAAAAATAGTAATCGTAAAAAAATTAATAAAACAAACGGTTAAACGTTTAACACGGAAACTCACATTCATGAATGGAATGAAGGGAGAAGTTTGATGTTCGTATACGATGGCTGACCCATTAGGTTTCCGACACTGTGGAGTTCGTTTATTATGCAACTCCTTTGTTGCCAGTTGCCACGAGCATATTTCTAAACGGGCTAAAAGGTGTGCCTTTTTTAAAATAACTATAATTTTATTTTAAAATCAAATAAGCACATTTTTAAGTTTGTAAAAATTAATATTCAATTAATCATACTATAATAACTTATCTCGTTTTACATATAAAAAAGTTCCAAACTAAAACTTACTTTCCAAAGCACCCTAATTACGCAGATGCGTTGTATTCATTTTCCATAATTAGTTGTCTTTTTCCTAGTCATATATTTCAGCTAAAGGTTGCTCAATTTCATCTCCTGGCGAACAGCTAGTCAAATGCATTTCAGTACACCAAAAGTCTGCAATTTGCACGTGGCACTATGACCAAGTGTGATGAGCAGATTGACCAAGTGGCGCCGCAGTAGCCGCGTCGGCCTCCCCGGCGGCGGTGGCGGCAGCGGCGGCTACGACCACCGTCTTCCTCATCTCCGGCGTCGCGTACTCGCGTCCTTCGTGCGGCCCGACGAACCAATCGTGCAGCCGATCTGTGAAAATAAAATAGAAAAAAGATATTAAAAATGGCCCAAACTCCCCAAACTAGCGTATTATCAAGGGTGGCAACTGGCCATGCAGTGAATGACATTTTATCGAATCCAAGCTTAAAGTAAAGAGTAGTGTATCTTCAATTTTGTCTCCTTTCCACCCCCTCTACAAAATAGCCTATGAAGAAATCCAAAAATAAAAACCGATAAATCAATTTTGTAAGATCACCAGGGATAACATTTTTTAAGCAAGAAACATTTCCAGGTTTCGCAATAACCCAACAAACAAATGCAATCCCAACAATTAAAAAAGTTTGTAGGAAAGCTACTCGGCCGTTGACCAAACAAATTAATGAGAAGTATTCTGTACAGGATCAATGCCAAATATACAAACCAATCATATCCACACACACACATCTTCCTAAACTACATTTTAATGACACTGAGAAGTCAAAAACATTGAGTAAAAAATTATCAGTAAATACTAACCGTGAAGTACAGTCAACTGTGTGTTGATACGTACCGCGCCATCTCTCTCTCTCTCTCTGTAATCCTTGCTCTATATATCATTGTAAAAGCATGGAGGTTGAGCTAGCCGCCGCGCGGCAAACTGCAAAAAAATCGTTGAAGAAAGATGGCGCGCCCAGCCGCCGTCGCCGCAGCTACTGGGCGACGGTGCAAGGCGGCGCCAGCGCCGCCGGAGAAGCACCTGAACCGCTTCGTCCGCATCATCGCGTTCATAGAGAGGGCCGGCAACGGCCTAGGCACGCTGGTGTTCACATGGGCAACAGTCGTCATCCTCGGCGGCTTCTCGACGATGCTCACCGTACGGGAGTTCAATTGCGCGACGCTGCTGGCTCTCCTGGAAGCCACAAGGTCAGCAATCAACTTCCATTTTTGTTTTTCAGTCAAAAGCATAAACAAAGAGAGATAGAGAGATTAGTTCATATAGTTCAATTTTGTGATTTTACTGCAGGATGTTCAGCCAAAACAGTAGACTTGAGTACCAGTTCTTCTTCAGGACAAGGGGAGCTTTCAGGCGTCCTCGCCTGATCAGATTGGTTCTGATTGTATGCATGACTGAGGCCATGGTAATCGTCATGGCAAAGTTCAGATTTGCAAATTTCAGATTGGCAAAGTTCCGATGGAGCCCAACTCCAGTCTATCATCTAGGTCCGGTAAAGGTAACACCGTTTATAATCCTGGGTATGACCATGTCCCTGTTTGTAGTTGCCAAGCTTGTATGCCCAGTGATCCTTAAGCTGTTCGGCGACCCACAACTCAGAGCTGTATCACTATGGAGTCCCCTGGCTGCAATCCTATTGTTGGTCCCCTGTCTGTTCCTGGAAACATCAATACCCCATCCAGACAGATTGCCTAGATTAAAGGAATATTTCGCATTGCTCCTCACGGCAGTGATCATAGTGACAATAACCAAGTTGCAATTTCGATGCATAACCTCACTAGTGAATAGTCCTTGTGGCCACAAGATGTCATTCTTGCATCCAGTGATTCTGTTCTTGTGCATGTGCGCTGTAATAGCAATATTGGGATACCTGTTTTCGGACTCTGCCTATATAGTAGCACCAATGGCCTTCTTCCTGATATTTGCTTTGGTATTAGAGTCATTTGGCAACTTGCAGATACCAGCAGCGGTCGCACGTGTTGTGATAGCAATGATACAACCAACAACGGTCATCTGTGTCCAAAGTATTTTGACAGCAGTGACGCAGCGAACATCAGGTATCTATATCGGCATTCCGAAGAATTGCACCAGAGAACATGCATATCCTGACGGTACTTTAGGAGATACCAAGAAAAATGTCAAGTTCTCTCTTGACGTCTTCTATGTAATAGTCCTTACCCAAGGGGCACTCTATATTGTGGCATGTGTTCTCGAGATGTTTTCATTCATCCCCAAGATACACTTAGTTCGTCAAAGCAGGTTCAGACGGAAGTGGGGAAGGAAATGTGTTGACATGTACTATTCGTACATATTCGAGCAATGTGTTTCCGGAGGTGCGCTTGCTCCAAGGATCATGGAACTGACCAGCTTCGCCATGGATTTCACAAACTCAAACTCACCCAGCAACCAGCTCTATGGGATTCAAATGCTGCACAGCTTTCTGAAAAGAAAGCGCACCAAGGCACTTCTGCTCTTGAGACTCACCACCTCCACAGAGACATTGAACACACTAATCACCATGTTGGGCTGGACAAGTCCAGAGGATGCACAAGTCAGATTGCTTGCCACAAAGGTCATCGTCGAGCTTTCAAGGAGCCTCCAAGTTATTGGTATCCCTGGGTCAATGCAGAACATATCTTCACTTCTGGACACCGAAAACCAATTGAGACGACGAAATCCGCTACTTTACACATATTACAGCCAGGAGGGAAAAGAAGGTACGATTGTGGACACAGGTGATGGCCAAGAGCATATTGACCAAGATCATCCTCATAACAACAACCGACTGAACTCCTGGATGCTTGGTTGCTGGCAATTGATTTCAAAGCACAAAAAAATTCCAAAGGAGAAGACATTCATAGAGCATGATCTCCTTCCTGTACTGGGAATGTCAATCCTAGAGACACTTGCAGAATGTGATCCTGACAACTGTGCGGAAATCAGCAGAGCAAGAGACCTCATCCAGAAGATTATAGGGTACACTAACGAGACGCAGCCAAAAATACTGAAAGGTTCATCACTGAAGTTGCTGACAAAGCTCTCAAACACTGGTGGGGAAATTGGTATAACACTTCGGCAGAAGATGTCAGATCATCCCTTCCTGTTGAGAAACCTGGCAGAAATCTTGGGTGACATTGAAGGCAGCCAAGAACATAAGAAGCTGGCAGCAGAGATCCTTAGAAACCTTGCCGATGATGGAAACACAAGTCAGGAGATAGGTTCAACCCGAGTGATCATTAGCAGGTTGATCCAGGCATTTCTTGCACAACATCCACCATCAAACACAAATTCCGACCGGTCGCTACAAATAACGGCTGGTCAAGCACTAGCCATGCTAGCGATGGAAAGTATCAACAATTGCTCAGCAATGTTGAAAGAACCAGGATATTCATTCATTAGAGAGCTCACTGCCATGATCCAAGATGACAGATACAAATATGTGGCTGCAAGTCTTCTGCAAAATCTATGCTTGCATGCTCAATCCAAGCTCAGCAGCTCAGACTTGACAGAACTATCTCATTCCTTGCGAAAGGTGAGCCTGCTCATTCAACCTACAAGCTCAAAGTTAGAAGTATACAGTGCAACCTATTGTACTTGCAATCTTTCGTTTTCCTTAACTAGCTATGGAATGACTATTTTTTTTAAAAAAAAAAGAGGAATAACCTTATTTTCTTTGTTAGATATCTTTTTACAATGTTGCAATATGTGCAGTTTCATAGCACAGTCCAAAGACTACTCAGAGCTATATTGCAGGGCTGACTAAATGAGTAGAAACAGAATAAATATAAGTGGAATCTTGATTTCGATGATCATAACTTATATTACCTGTTGTTTCAATTACAGGTTTTGGAAAGAATAACTGACACAACAGTCGCAACAGAACTAGAAGTCCTTATTGGCCTTAGTTCACAAATATGCCATGTCGTTCCTGAAGACTTTGCCCGGGAACTAGAGCATTATCAGATTAAGGAAAGATTTGTGAAGAAACTAGTTGAGGCACTGAATGCAAATGTGAAACCTACTGCCCACTGCCCCAGGATCAGGAGGGTGATAGTTGAGCAAGTTATATATATGATGGAAAACAATTGTAGCTATGCGAACTGTTTCAATGAATGCCAGATGATGGAAGCACTCACGGTGGTAGAAGAGACACCTTCAAAGGTTGAAAAGTACAGGCTCTTCATGGGGGATGCAGGACTAATGGAATACAGCATGCCACTCTCTAATCTTGTCGCTAGAGCAAAGGAAGAATTAATGCATCATGTAACATGATTGGTTAAGAAGCATCAGCATTTTTTTTTCTTTTTGAATTTTAGAAGCATCAGCATTCAGTAGTCACGACTAGCAGTTTATGTAGATGGTACTATTTTGTAATGCTATCCATGTAGGAGATCTGCTAAATTAAGAGTTGGTATCTAAATTAAGAGCGGGAAAATGGTATTATTAGCATTGTACACAAGACGACCACGATATATGTGTAACTAAGAGATTTTGCCTTGCAGCGAGAATAACTGCAGGCATTGTAATGAATTTATCTACTTTGGTACCATTAACATTTAGTCTTGTAATGTTCAAAGAATCAACAGCAGTGGATATTTCAGGCGATTACTGTTCTACCTGTCAAGGGCATCGCAGTTGTAGAATGAATTGGTATGAATTGAAACAATACCCAACACCACAGAGTTACCCACTTGGCCACTAAGCACTTAACCAGTTCCAATCCCAAGACCAAGCAAGGGAGGAAAAAATTAATTATACTCCAGAAACTAGCCTGTAAACCCTAAATCTGAGCACCAAACACACGGGCGCCGGCGGGAGAAGGAATGCAGGAAGAGAGATGAAGAGATGGGAGGCGAGAAGGTAATTGCACCTGCTGTTAAGGAAGGGAGGCAGGATAGAGCTCTCCACACCGAGCTTCCTCTGCTGATCCGCTCGCCGCCGGAGCGGCCATTTCGCGCGCCGCCGCTCGCCCGCTCCGGCGACGCCACCGCTAACCCCGCACCGCATGAGGCGGTCTGACGGACCCCGCGAGGCCCATTAGCCACACATCCGTCCGGCTCTCACGGAGGCCTACATGGCCCACGTAACGTAAGGCCCATGTCGCGCTCCTCATCTTGCCGTCGCGTCGCGTCACGGGCCCAATCACGCTTCCTTGTCCCGCTCGTCGCCTTCAAAACAAACTCCAATCCGTCCGTCCATCCATCCATCCTTCCGTTCGGCTTACATCGTCTTTAGTTCTAAAGTTTGTTTTTTAAACTTTTAACTTTTTCATCACATCAAAACTTTTCTACTCACATAAACTTTCAACTTTTTTATCATATTGTTTTAATTTCAATCAAACTTTCAATTTTAGCATGAAAAGTAGCACGAAGTCTTCCGACCTTAGCGACACGGCGATGACGAGAAAAATGGCCAAACAAACGGTCACTGGAACGATCGAGCGGGAAAAGGCCAGGTGAAAGTGAGAGTGCGAAACCAAACACATCTGCATCATGTACTGGAACAAGAGGAGGAAAAGTCAGAAGAGGCGGGAGCTGAATGATGGCCGGCGGGGAGCATCGACTGCAGATAGCGGCCAAGTCCGACGGGCAAGGCAGGGCAGCCGCGCCGGAGAAGTGGGTGAATTGCTTCGTTCGCGTGGTGGCGCTGATGGAGAGGACGGGCAACGCGCTCGGCACGCTGGCCTTCACCTGGGCCACCGTCGTCCTCCTCGGCGGATACCCCACGGTGCTCCGCTCGCAGGACGATTTTTGGTACGCCACAGCCATATTCTTCCTAGAAGCCGCCAGGTAATTTATTTATGCAGCCCATGTACATATATCCTCTTCCGTTTTTCTTCTACTTTAAAAGCGTAGTGGCGGATTCATTATTTTGCTAATGGGGGTGTGGAATTAAGTGATGTTTTTTTTTGTCGGGATGACTAAAGAAGGTCATCTAAATGTTACTCCCTCCGTTTCAGGTTATAAGACATTTTAACTTTGATCAAAGTCAAACTACTTTAAGTTTTATTAAGTTTATAGACAAATATAGTAATATTTATAATACCAAATTATTTTCATTAAATCAATAATTGAATATATTTTCATAATAAATTTATCTTGGGTTGAAAATGTTATTATTATTTTTTTATAAACTCAGTCAAATTTGAAGTAGTTTGACTTTGACCAAAATCTTATAACCTGAAACGGAGGTAGTATTAAGATAGAGGAAAAAGAAAGTTTTCCATCAACAACTGTCAAAAAATATGCACAAAAAACACATGCCCCGAAACCACACACCAACCACACGAACACAAACTACTTAACTCGACTAAGATAAAAATCCAACAAAACACTAAAATGATATAATTGATGCTAACAATTTTAATGGGCTAAAGTAGATATCTTTTTAACAAATTTACAAACAAGAGTCACAAAATATGATAATGTTTTCGGATGATGATCTGATCATGCCTTGATTAACGGTAAGGTTGTCTAGCTAATTTGCTCAACTCTAGCAAATGCAATGTATAAGATGGATAGAGTTTTTTTGAAACAAAGATGGATAGAGTTTAGCAGCGAGGTTATCTAAATAACTCGTTGGCTATACTTACACAGTAATACATCTAGAAGGAGATTAACAGTAAAATTATCTAGCTACTTAAATCAGTTATACATAATTAGGAGGAGACTATGCATGAATGCATCTGGCAGCCCTGTTTTGTATACATAACAGCTTTTGTATATAAAAAATTTTGGGGATGCAACCACACGCGATGTGTCCATGGTGGATCCGTCACTGTAAAAGCGGAGTCGTCGTCCTCCTCCCTCCCACACCATTGTAGCTCCCCATGTAAAAAACAGACTCCCCAACAAACCATCCCACCCAAAAAACAAAAATACAGTGTTTTGTAGAAAAGAGAGGACAAACTCCAACTGTTCCAAACATAGATTACAGGAATTGGGGATTTCTATTATAATAAAAACGGACAAACGGTTCCAAAAATAGATTACAGGAACTGGGACAATACAATATATCAGGCCTAATTCAATGGTGTCATCCCACCATCTAAGGCAACATAACGAAGTCCCAAAATTAACAAATTAAAACCTCTAAACATAAACCAGCAGCTATCAATAGTTCTGAAGCAAACACAACAAAAGATAAGCCAGAATGAGTTCAACATATGAGCTATGAGCATCCTAAGAACACAAAGCCGAAGCTTCCTTCCCCTTCAACATTTTATCAGACGGCGCCACTGCCTAGTTTCTCCAGCCCAGTCTTCTGCTACTGCCTCTCCATCCAAATTGTGAACTGTACATCTCCTCGGCCACCCGCCTTAGAAGTTATACCCCCAAAACATTCTTTCTTGGTTTTCAACCAACTTCTGCAGAATCGCCCATGATGCAATCAAAGCTCAAACAGAGTGAATTAGTTCAACAGGGTCTCATAGTAGTTCACTTTTAAAACAGGCCTTGTTCATTGTTTTCCAGATTGCCCAAATAACAGCTGTTATCCCTACCATCACCATTTTTTCATGTTTTTATCAAAGTTAATATATCCTCTTTTGTATTAATAAGTTGTCTATCGATGGGAATCTAAAAAAGGATCCCAATCTATTTCGCTTTTGCATTCTCAACATATTCGCTCTAAGAGCAAAATTATGTTAGTGATAAAAAATAACGATTGATGACCGGCTTGTTGATTGTACGGTGTTTTGCCTCTTTACTTACCCATCCTATGTATACTTCAGGATGTTCAGTGGCAGCAACAACAGGCACGATTACCAATTGTTCTTCCGAACCAGAGGTGCTTTCAGACCTCTTGGCTGGAATGGTCTAATCGCCATCGTCTGCATTTTAGATGTTTGGGTGTTGTTGGTTCTCCAGAAGAAAATAGTTATGGCAGCTGTAGTGGTTTACGCTATGATAATTCTGCTTGCACTTGGCCAGAATATATCTCCTGAGTTTCAACCACTATGCAATCCATTCCGCCGTGCCATATCTCTATGGAGCCCCTTAGCTGCAATACTGTTGCTAACTCCAACCATGCAGCATCACTCAAGGGAACTTGTTTGGAATACCACAGGAGGCAGATTAACACCGAAAATAACGGCTGAAATTAACTTCATCCCAAGTAGGTTCACAGTTGCCAAATGGACAGCGTTTTTCATATTGCTCGTAGTTGTGCTCATGGTAACAATCAGCAGGTTGCGGTTCCCAATAGTCACCAAACTAGCAGATAGTGCTCTGTGCAGAAAGCTATTAGTTTGGGGTCAAACTATCCAGAATATGTGCATGCTTGCTGCGCTAGTGATGTTGGTACTGACTACTGATGGGTCCTTTCGGTTTGTAACAATCTTGTCACTACTCGGCATTACATTGATGGTGTCATCTGGCAACTTCCAGATACCAGCAGCAGTCGTGCGTGCTGAGATTGCAAGCTTCGTACTGCACCGCCTTATCATGCCACATAACGGCTACATAGAACATGGAGAGAATCCAGACAGTAAGACTAACCTGGTACCATCTCTCATTATCTTCTATGGGATGGTGATGGCACAAGGAATACTCTACATCGTGGCATGCATCCTCGATATCTTTTCATTCATCCCCCGGAGATCCCTCATCCGGCGTGCTGGATTGAGAGGTCAGCTGGGAGTGGAATATGTCAATCTATATGCATATGCCTTCGAGAAATGCATGGGAGGGGCTGTGTTTGTTCCAAAGAAAATCAGCCTGACCAACTTTGCCATAAATTCCCTGAACTCAGATTCTCCCAAGAATCATTTCTATGGGATTCAACTGATGCATAGCCTTCTGGAGAATGAAATGACAAGGGTTCGGATCCTTGACAAACTCATCACTTCTACAAAGACCATCGACAGAATAATCAGTATGTTGGGCTGGACTAGTCCAAATAATACGACGGTCAGATTATATGCCGCTAAGGTGACTGTTGAGCTTCAAAGGACCTCCAAGTCATCACTGTTCCTACGGCAGTGCAGCTTGTATCTGCACTTCTGGACACCAATGGCAAACTTAAAAAGGGAAATCCACTTCTGCAGGTAGATGATGAACAAGAGGAGAGGCAAGACCCCATTCTCAACACAGCAAATAGCCAAGAGGAAAGACCGGATGGAATTAGGAATTCAGATGATGACCCAACGCAAAGACAAGAGCCACTTGAAGGCACTGATAACCTGCCGGAGACACAAACTTGTTCAACCCACATCCATGAACAGAACTGCATACTCAGACGAAGATGGCAGCACATTTCAGAGTACTGGAAAGTTCCCAAAGAGCATTCATTGACGTACTATGATCATCTTCCTGCACTTGGCATGTTGATTATTGACAAGCTTGCTAGTTGTGGTCAAAATAACTGCGTGGAAATCGATAGAGTAGCTGACCTCATTCCGAAGATCATAGGATTTACAAGCTTAAGAAGTGACACGACGAACAGCGAGGCATAGCAAATGGTCCTGGTAAAGTCATCACTGAAGGTGTTGCAGAGACTCACAAGCATTGGAGGAGAGATCGGCATAACATTACGGTACAAGATATTGAAACATCCCTTCCTTTTAAGAAACCTTGCCGAAATCTTGGGAGACAACAACAACAATCAAGAATTAAGGAAGCATGTGGCAGGAATCCTCAGAAACCTTGCCATTGATGGTGACACAAGGAAGAAGATTGGGCACATGCAGGTGCTCATAACCAGGCTGATGAAAGCATTCCTCAATTCAGATAGAACCTCCAGCACAAATGTTGATTGCTTGCTAACAAAGGTAGCTGGGCAAGCACTGGCAATGCTGGCAACAGATAATGTGCACAACTGCTTAGTTATGTTGAAAGAACCAGATTTTATCAATAAACTCAAACGTATGATCCAGATCCATGATGAAAAGTACATATATGTGGCGGCAACCCTATTGTGTTGTATGTGCCAGCACGCCCAAGCCAAGCTCACAGAATCAGACCTGAAGGAACTATCTCAGACCTTACGTGAGGTGAGCCCTGGTACTTCATGCTACAATATGCAATCAATATTTGTGGTGGATAATGTTCTTTGCTGTTCTCATATATTCTTTATGTTAGCTGATGAAATTTCTCCTACACTTTATTAAATGGGGGTATTTATTTAGTAGTGAACTGAAGTATTATGATTCACTATGTTAGTATGTTTTGCTCGATTATGTTTTTACTGCTCATGCTACATTATGATGTTGTTTCCACTACAGGTCTTGGAGAGAATAATGAATGCAGAAGGGGCAGAACTAGAGATCCTCATTGGCCTAAGTTCACAGATATGCAAAGTCATTCCTGAAGAATTTTCCCAAGAACTAGATGACAAACAGATTAAGCAGAGATTCATAAAGAGGCTAGTTGATGTACTGAATGCAAATATGAACCCAGGTGCTCACTGTCCTGGGATTAGGAGGGTGATACTTGAGCAATCTATATACATGATGGAGTGTAATTCTCACTATACCAGTTGTTTCAACGAATTCCGGATGATAGAAGCACTGTGGATGGTAGAGGAGATGCCCTCAGGGGTTGAGAACTACAGGACTTTCTTGGGTGACGCAGGTTTTATGGAATACAGCACACCTCTCTTTGCTCTTGTGGACAGAGCAAAAGAACTGATGGGCCGTCAGTGCCTGCAAGGAGTCAGTAGAGTTAACTGAAAAAAATTGTAAAGGGTGATTTCGCATTTACAATTATAGTGAGTTGCTGAGTTATAGAATATGAAACAATTTTGCACAATATTACATGCACATGCTGATATGTCCACAGTCTCTTAACACAATCAAAAGATTACAAAGAGCTTGGTCACAGTACTGAGTTAATGGGTAGAAACAGCCAAAAAGTAGGTGGAATTGTTGTTGTAAAAACCATAACTTAAATTACTTGCTATTTCAATTACAGGTTTTGAAAAGAATAACTGATACGATGGTTGCAACAAAACTAAAAGCCATTATTGACCTTAGTTCACAAATATCTAACGTGAAGTCATGAACTAGAGCATGGTCAGATAAATGAAAGATTTATGAAGGAACCTGTTGGAATAATGGAGTACAGCATACCACTCTATAATCTTGTGGCCAGAGCTAAAGAAGAAATAATGCATCATGTGACATGATTGGTTAAGAAGCATCAGCATTCAGTAGTTTTGTAGTTACCATTAGCAGTTTATGTAGATGGCGGCATGGCGCTACTCTGTTTCCCAATCCATCTAGAAAATTGCTAAAGTAAGTCTTGATATCTAATATAACTATATTGCAAGTGGTTGGTAAGGGGAAAAGGAACGATATCAACATTGTACACTAGTCAACCATATGCATATTTGTAACCTGAGATAAATAGCAGGGGATGTATGTACGACCTCCTTAGTGATCTTATGAACAAGACTTGCCTTGGTGAGATAATGGATATGTACACAGCTGTTTTCTTCTTATGTTCAAAAATCAACAGCAGCAGAAGCTTCAGGTGATTTCTACTCTAGCTACCTGCCTCAAAGGTCCTAGTGCGATTTGGTACAGTAAATTCTCTGTAGTTTCCGTATGAACTGAAACAAATACCTAACATCTCAGTGTAACCGACATCGTAACCAGTACCAATCCAAAGAACCCAGCAGGAAAATTGAAGTCGAATAGAAACACTATGTGGGAAACCCTAAATCTGGGCAAAAAAGAAATGCAAGCCTCTACGGTCTACGGCTGCCGGAAACCGGCGCTCCGATGACTCCAAGGGTGGGCACGGCAGGCGGAATAAGGAATGCAGGAGAATTGGTAATGGCACCTGCCGCCAGGGGGTCGACTTCTCTACACCGACGCAGAGCTGCTCGCCTGCTCGTCGCCCTGCCGGCGGCCACCGAAGCTGCCCCTTCGCATCGCCGCCGCCGCCGCCGTTGGGGGCGGAGCGCTACGAGCCCACGACAACCCTGCTCGCCTCTTTCGCACGCCCCGCATCGGCCCACATGACGGCCCACTTAGGCTTACATGCGGCCCACGTATATTGGACCGGACGTCAGTAGTCAGCTCTCCAAATGCCAGATTTGCCATGGTAGGGAGAAGGTTTCTTCATAGTTTGCCATTTTTGCCTACGCACGAAGGTATACAGCAGCCACGACGCGTCCTGTGCCGCCTGGTGCGAGCTCGAGCAACGCTGCTACCGGTCCACAAGGAGTACGGCGCCATCGCCAAGAAATTTCACCCCAACCAAACTAATTCTGAAAGCGACCAAGCGAAAATTTACCAATTTTTGCTTTGATTTTTGCAGGAGAAATTGGGGGAGGATGTCTCTATACACACCATCAACAAGTTCTTGTCAACGAGCATGCCCAGGAGGCCAGGAGCAGGTGCTAGCTGTGTCGCTGCTGCACGAGCTGTTGGGCAACGAGATGACGTGCCAGTGGATGAGCGTATAGATGGCCATATGGCTCCACGGCTCGGATCAAGCACGGCACGGCTTGACTGGAATTCTACCGTGTCGGCCCGGCCCGATAGCCAGGCCGTGCCTGGGCTGCACCCTCAGCACGGTGAGCCAGCCCGGCACGGCCTACGATCGAATAAAAAAATATAGGGATGCAAAATAAACTTAAATAACCATATAAAGCAATGCCCAAAGAGAAGAAGAATACAAAATAGACTTATTTTTCAACTATATGAACACAGCCCACATAGTCGAGGGATGAAAAATATACTTTTTCCATGGAGAAACACAATGGGCCGTCGTGCCTTCGGGCCGGCCCGAGTTGTATTGGGTCGTGCCTGGACCATGTATGTAGCCCGTGGGCTGGCACGGCATGGCACGACATGTCTGTTAGGCCGTGCCGGCCAGACTAACCTCGACCCAGACACGGCCGGGTCTGAGCCATGCCGCCCAGTTGGTCAACTATAGATGAGCATGGTGTATGGCACCATCTTGCGGTTGATGGCCGGGATGGAGTGACATGTCATAGAGCACTACCATAGTCGGCAAGGTAGAGGGCACGCTCTGCAACCTCAATCGGTTCGATACCAACGTCAAGCAAATGGCCGACTACGGCAAGCTATAGCCGCGCCTCACTAGACTATTCCAGGATGAGCCGGAGATGCAAGCTGCCATGGTTGACTACCTCGACGAGTGCAGCTCGAGCTCGGCCAGAGGAGGAAGACGCGTCTGACAGAAGGGCTCCACCAGAGGCGCCACACCAGCATGCCTACGTGTCATGCCACGTAGTCGAAAGTGGCAAACTATGAAGAAACCTTCTCTCTCCGATGGCAAATCTGTAATAACAAACATAAAAGTAGTATTTGAAGAGTGGCGTTTCCTAAGAGTGGCAAATAATTAAATTTCCTGTCGTCAGTAGCCATGAGACGCCATGGCTCTTCATAATCACATAACTTCCATCCTTTTTTCTACTGATGAGAAAGAAAATGACAAACTCCCTAATGCTAAAGATGGTGTTGGAGGGCAACTGCTTCAATTTAGTGGCTACTATGGGCTGCATTATCTACGAGATCAAGAACGTGATTCTCTTTTCTTTTGCTGTTTTCTCCTATCGTCCTCGAGCCAGTAATCGTGTGGCGCATGCTTCGGCAGCGTTGGGCTGTAAACGCTCTCTGCATGCTAGTAGGCATGTAGACTTGGAGAGCCTAGTGGCTGGTAACTTATAAGTTAATGGTCCACTAAAAAAGAAAGAAAAAGAGAGACGTTTCCATGATTCCATCCTTCACCGAGAGTTCAATCCTCCTAAAATGCGTTGACGGCTTGACCGTTGCGAGTGGCGACGACAAATGATGAGCTGGATAAGTTGCTGTAGAGATCTACTGGACAACATGGCAGATCATTAGGACAAATTAAACAGTATGATGGTGAAATTTGATGACTTTTGCGCTTGTTGACTAACTAACAGTATGTTTGAGACATGCATAAAGTATTAAATATAGACAAAAATAAAATCTAATTATATAGATTGCGTGTAAATTACGAAACGAATCTTTTAAACCTAATTGCTCAATGATTTGACAATGTGGTGCTACGGTAAATATTTGCTAATGATAGATTAATCAGGCTTAATAAGTTCATCTCGCAACTTACAAGCGGATTCTGTAATTTGTCTGGGTATTACTACGTTTAATACTTCAAATGTGTGTCCGTGTATCCGATATGATATGACAAAAATTTTCACCCCTAGATTTAAACACGGCCTTAGTCTTCTCTTCTCCCACATGTACTTCATCTTTATTTGCATGCAGGTTTTATATAGTAAAAGTTTAAACCATTTTTCCTTTAAAAATAATTATCCGATCTACGATTTAATTACACCATTGTATTTCTTGCAATTAATTTTTATAATAAAAATCTCACACTATTATATTTTTAATGAAAAAATTGAATATCGTTTCACCTCTTATAGAGAATTGTTTTAGTTCTGTGTATAAAATGTTTTAAAGAAATGCATCATTCAACAAATATTGACTGCATCACCAACAATCACTTATATGAAACATTGAGTTCCAAGGATTCAAAGATTAAAAAAAAACAATATAAAAGATATATTATATTTACAAACGCTTGATATTGTTGAAACATTTTTATATCACGTGTAAACATTAAGTTATAATCATTGAAACATTATAATATTGACTAAAACATTTAAATAATACCATATGCAACATTTGACAAATTTAACTAGTGAAACATCATAGTTTTTTTTTACTGGAAGTGAAACATCATAGTTAAAATATTTAAATAAAAACAAGTGCAACATTTTAAAAAATCATTAAAAAGCTAACTATTTTTTTCAGCGGAATATAACCATGCATAATATTGTTGTAAAGATTTAATTGTAATGAATTTAGAGGTTCAATTGGATTATAAATCAAATGATTATTTTATGAGAAAAAATGTTTTGAAGTTTAAAACCTTTTCTTAATATATCTTGGACAATGTATAGACAGAGAAGCATACCTACCACTCTAGCTACATGCAACGGATGGCGGATATTTCCCTCTTTGGACGCCCGACGTGGAGTTCTCTCCCAAATTAATACTTGTTCACCAGTCAATCATTAAAATAAAACAAAATAAAACATTTGACTGCAAAACTGGCCGTTAATAATGACAGGTACTCCGAAATCGATAGTTTGACTACCGCTAGCTGTTTATCCGAGAATCCACCAACCAAAGTAATTAATTATTCAGAAATGGACGATACATAATACAGTACGATCAATTTTGACTGTCCATTCCCGCGGCAAGTGCGTTCTTCCGCGCCAAGGACTCGTCGGCAGACATTGAGCAGTATATAGGAGAAAACATTACAGACGGTAGGCAGCTCAACTCCTTGCAGAATAAGTAGCAGTTGCTGTGAGAGTGTGAGACGACCGTTTCTTGTTGTGATCTTGTGGATTCGGCTGGCTGCGTGTCTTGTTGGTGAGTAAAAATGATCTTCGCTAGATCGGCTAATTTTTACAATAGTCCCGGTTCTTTTAAACCGGGATTAAAAATTGTTTTTAGTTCTGGTTAAAAAAATTTGATTTTTTAGTCCTGATTGGTAACACCAATCATCCCCTATCAAAGACCTGTCATGGGGGACTAAAGATCTATCTTTAGTTCCAGTTGGAGTTACCAACCGGAGTAAATATTTCTCTCCCATATCTGATCGGTTAAATCCCAAAAGAACTTTCCTCCTCACCTACATATTTTGATAAGATTAGATCGACCTCATCCCCTCATATCCCCTTCCTCCTCCCCTCCCCCCCCCCCCCCCTCTTCCCTTCCATTCGGCGGTCGGCGGCGACGGGCAGGCGGCCAGCAACGGCGCACGGACGTGGCGAGCCCGGCAGGCTGGGCCGTGCCCGGCGGCGGCCGTGGCGAGCAACTTTTTTTTTTGATATTTTGTGATTCACGCTAAGATGTATAATTTCTTTTTTATAATTTGTGATTCATTGTATGGATATGAGATGTATTTGATTTCTGCGTATTTTTTTAAGGATTTGTGATATATTTTATTTGTGTGTATAAGTAACTTAGGATTTGTGATGTGAATGATTTGGGATGTTACTTTGATTTGGGGATTTGGGGTTTGATTTGAGGATATGCGTCCCACTCGATTTGAAAGAAAATACATGTACTAACTCTGTCAATTAGCAAAGAAACAATGAAAAAAAGAAAAGGAGATCAACCGGGACTGCTCCTACCCTCTCTTTAGGACCGGTAATACCAACCGGGACTAAATATCGAACTTTACTCCCGATTATTTCACTCGGGACTAAAGATCCGAAATTTTACATGTTTAGTTCTGGATTCGTAGTCCCGATTGGAAAATCGGGACTATAGGGGTTCCCAACCGGGAGTAAAAAGGTTTCCCCAATAGCAAATATATGGAAGTATATCAGTTGCATGGGTTGCTTTTCACAAGTGAGCTGAGGCTTTCATGTAAGAAAATAATAAACTGAGGCTTGCAGGCGGTGCGCGGGGAGGAGGTGACGATCACCGGCGAAGTTGAAATGAAGGCCGATAACGACGCTGCCGCCGAGCACCGCATCCAGATGCCGGAGTCAGGACGACAGGCGGATATGGCGGCCGCCGCCGCGCCGGAAAAATGGCTGAATCGCTTTGTTCGCTCGGTGGCGCTGATCGAGAGGGTGGGCAATGCGCTCGGCACGCTGGCCTTCACCTGGGCTACCGTCATCCTCCTCGGCGGCTACCCCACCAAGCTCCACTCTAAGGATGACTTTGCGTTCGCAACAATCATCGTATTCCTTGAAGCCGCAAGGTATATATGCGAAGTAACATACTTTCTCATTTTCATATTACCAAATAAAATAATAAAATACCCGTGCATTGCAACAGGTGAAAACTATTTCAATCGTATTATTGTTAGATTTTTAATTTATGTCTGAAAAACGTATGGATTTTTATTTCGATAATATTAATATCTACGGTCCCATCTTTTCGCTTATGTTTATACTTATCAGCCAAAATTTGAATTTTCAACCTTAAATTTAAAATTGATCTTGAGGTTTTTTTTTATCGAATTTTATTTTTCAACATTTGCTTTTACATCGCTAAGAACACGTATATAAAATTTGTATTCACAAATTATTTTTTGTTTGTAAATATGTCGTTTGGCTTATTCCGATGGGAGCTCTAATTCGGAACCCTTATTGCACGCTGCTTTCTTATGGATTGACAAGCAATTAAGAGTATGATTGTCGAAACTAGAATTCGATAATACGAAAAGGGGTAGCGCACAAGAAGGAAAGTGGATGGGTTATAAAACAAAGGTTTAAACAGGTTCAAGCCTTCTCAATGAGAAGTAATACCTATTCCTGTTTAGGGATTGAATCCGCCGTATATAGTATTGCTCTGACGATTTTGGATGTGGTTATAACCTCAAGGGGCGTCCTGCCCTCCTTATATAGTCGATGGAGACAGATTTATAAGATAGAGACTTTATCCCTTATGATTTAAATCTCTATAACTACTTTACAATTGTAACAAACCAGAACTACGATATATTTCCTTAATACACATGTCAACACAATACCCGAGTTTTATCCTATACATATTTTACTCATATGAACTATCCTTGTAACCAGTCGGATAGTCTAGCCATGTGGGTATATGGTAGCTATAATCTCCACAACGACTCTCATCCCAAGTTAGTATACAAGTTTTTTAAAATGATTTCTTATACGACTCCTTATGTATTTCCAAAAGTTAACGAACTTAAAAGCTTACTCAAATACGGACAACGTAGTATAGGTGGAAACATCTTCAATTTTTGTCATAGTATAAAAAGAGATTTATGTTCAATTTGAGCGTTGTGCTGTATTTTCTAATTGGTGAAAAGAAGTTCATTGGAGCAATTTATGTGGTATACTTGCATACATGCAACGTTCTTTTGCTATCGTTGAACCGTTGTATACGTGGGCAACAATAGAGAGTCAGACTCACGGCGCCCACTACGTGGTGACGAAGGACGGATACAGGAGGATATATAAGAGTCGGATGATAAAATTAAAAACTAATTCAAACACGGATGACGTACCAAAATTTTTATAATAATAGAGATAGATCGTTTTACTTTTTTAGTCAAAATTTTTAAAGTTTAACCATGGTTCTGTACTCCTTTAAAAGCTTATAGTGACAGTGGCAGTGAATCTGCTCCCACTATTGTTGTTCTTACAAATTATCTCCTGATATATTTTTTATATTGTGGAATAGTCCAATATTTGATTCAAACTAATGAATAACAGATAATCAAATAAGCAACATGTGACACTAAGATATTTGATAAAAAAATATTTTGCTATGACACATTATGATATATTTTTGTTATTCTATCTATAGTAAAGCATGAGTACTTTACTAGTATAAAATTTTTTTGCAACATCTAGAACACAAAAGTTAGTTTCATTAAAACTAACAATTGATAGTATATTTGTTTTATGTTAAAAATGTTACTATATTCTTTTATAAATTTGGTTAAACTTTAAGGAGTCTAATAAGAAAAAGTTAAAACGATCTAAGTATTACTGACATGATCCCATTTTGTTTATTTGCTGGGAAAGGCTGAAGGAGGCCATCTGAGTATATTAAGTTACAAAGAAAATACGACATAAACTGTCGACGACGGATGTGCGCGAGGCACCTCCAGGAACCACACGCTAACCACACAAGCACAAACCACTGAAAATGGAACCGAGCACCAAAACGACCACCGCTAAGCGTGGCCGATCGCCGCTCGGCCTACAACAAGTCAACAACACCACAAAGGCGAGAGTCCAAAAACGATACCAAAAACGATACCCCCATGGAGGTCACGACATCAAGGACGCCGCCATCGCCAATCTAAGAAAGATGCCGTTTTCACCCAGAGAGAACTTGCAAGGAAAGGGGGAGAGGTACCCACGACAGCGCCCCAAGAGGGCTACGACACCCAAAGGCGTAGCCGCTGCCGGTCCGGTGATCACCGAGCGAGGCTTACGCCTGGAACCCCTGCAACCTTTCAAGTAGTTTGTCACCCATCAACTCAGTAACCACCACACAGGCATTGGCAGCGCGTGGCTTCCACCAAAACCGCACCGGCGCCCCTCTGCCAGCCTACTTCCGAACTTGCCGCCGAACCCTGCAGCCAGCTCACTGCATTCCACCGCTCCTCCCCTGAGAGCTGGCCTAGGCCACCTCCGTCCCACCACCCGCCGACCTCCTTGCCATGTTCGGCCAAAGGAGAACCCGGGACTAGACAACATCACTTCAGCCACCTGAGCTTCCCCCGCTGACCAGCAGCCACCCCAACCCAACCGAAACTCCCCACAAAGAAGGGGAGGAGCTCAAGAAGGGAGAGGGTGCTGACCGGCAACGAGGAAGACGACCCATCACCGCCAGCTCCCTTTGCACCGCCGCTTCTCCCATGAGCACCGACACCGGACCTGCAACGCCAAATCTAGCTGACGCCCGAGGTCTCCAGCGCTACCACCGTCAGGCGTCCCAGTCGGCAGCGGTAGCCACGACCTGCTCGAGGTGCGTTGCCGCTGATGCCACCGGCTGCGGCAGCCTCGGGGCGTCCCGCCACCGGCCATGGCGGCCGCGAGCTGCTGCCCCGCGGTCTGCTCTGGCCAGATCCACCTTCCGCGGTGTCCGCGCCGACGCCACCCCCGCCGTCCAGCTTCCTGGCCGCCGCGATGGCGCCGACGCCAGCGAAACCACCTCCACAGACGCTCTGCCGCCAAGCCCTCATGGCCGTGCCGTCCCCGGGCCGCCGTGCCATCGCCATCATGTCATCGCGCCGCCGCAGTGGCCGGACCCGTACCGGCCAGATCTGACCTCAGAGGCGCGGGATCCGCCGCCTCCCCACACCGCCCCGCCATCTCCACCTCCGGCCACTGAGGTCGCTGTCGTCGGCTACGCCCCATCCTCCCTACGCTGAGTTGGGGGCCTCCGAGCTTGAATGGCCTCACCGCCGCCTTTCCGGCTCGCCACCGGCGGCTAGGGTTTTTGCCCCCCGAGCCGCCGGCACGAGAGCAACGCGGGGGTCTCGTTCTGCATTGAACTTTTGCTCTAGTCCCATTTTGTTTAGTGTGTGCGTTCTATAAACCATATGCTTCTAGTAATACAGAGTCTAGCTTCTTCTTTCCTTTAATTACATCATATGCCCGTTTTTTTACTTCAGGATGTTCACCGGCCCCAACAACAAATCCGATTACCAATTGTTCTTCCGGACAAGAGGTGCTTTCAGATCCCTTGGCGGCAACGGACTGATCGTGATCGTATACTTTTGGGGTGCAACGCTGAGCATTCGTGCTTCGAACTTGCATTACGTGCCACGTATAGTGCTTATAATCACGGTAATGGTTCTACTTGTTGTTGGCCAGATTCTATTTCGATTAGGTCGAAAACCACGTACCTGTAACTGGTGGCCACGCCGTGCGATCTCCCTATGGAGCCCCGTGGTGGCTATCCTGTTGCTGGCTTTCGCAGTGCTTCGATATTATGATGGTGCAATAATCATGTGGATGGCGTATGGAGTTCTAGTTGTGGCTGTGATCCTAGCAACAGTAGGCAGGCTGCGGTTCCCAATCATCATCAACCTTGTACACAGTGCACTGGGCAGCAGACACGTATTTTGGCGTCGGATTTTTCTAAACTCGTGTATGCTTGCTGCAATAGTGATGCCGCTTTTCGTGGATGATCCAGACCTTCGAAAGGCGATGGTCGCGGTCGATATATGTGCTGTGCCAATACTGTCACTTGGCAACTTCCAGATTCCAGCAGCACTCGTGCGTGTCATGCTCGCGGGTTTGCGCCTTGGTGAAGAGAGCTATAACGGTGAAGGTGACACAGCAAACCTTTTCACATCTCTACAAATCTTCTATGGAATGGTGTTTGCCCAAGGACTGCTTTACGTTTTTGCCGGCATGGTGGAGTTTCTCTTCTCGTTCATCACTCGGAGATCCCTCGTCCGCCATGGTGGACTTACAGGTCAGTGGGGGGTGGAATCTGTCGATCTGTACTACGAATACGCCTTCAGCAAATACATGAAAGGAGGCCTGTTTGCTCCAGAGAGGATCAGCCTCAGTAACTTCGCCATTGATTCTCTGAATTCTGACCTGTCCAAGAATCAGCTATACGGGGTCTGGATGATGCACATTTTTCTGCAAAGACACCCAACAAGGGAACAACTCCTGGAGAAGCTCAACACTTCAGCGCAGACAATGGCCAGGTTGATCAGCATGTTGGACTGGACAAGGAGAAACGAACATCCAACTATCAGGTTGTATGCTGCGAAGGTTGTTGCAGAGCTCGCAAAGAGCCTTCGAGTTGTAATCGTCCCTGGGGCGATGCAGCTAGTATCTACGCTTCTGGATACTGATGGCAAACCGGAAAAAGGACACCCACTTCTGGATGCAGATGATTACCAAGATCCTTTTGTTGATACAACAGTAAAACAAGAGAAAAGACAGGATGCAACTGGCCATCACCAAGGCAAAACACAAGAGACACTTGGGGACACTGATAGGCTGTTGGAAACACCGAACAGATCAACACGCACCAACGCCCAAACATCCATATTACGATGTTGGCGGAAAATATCAGCATACTGGTCAATTCCCAAGGAGCAGCCGTTGACAGACAACGATCTTCTCCCTGCATTGGGCATGTCAATAGTTTACAACCTTGTTGGTTGTGATCAAAATAACCTTTTGGAAATCGATAGAGTAACTGACCTGATCCCTAAAATCACTGGATTCACAAGCTTCAGAAGTGCAATCATGAATTCTGAATCACAACAGAAGGTTCTCTTAAAGTCATCACTGAAGGTGCTGCAGAGACTCACAAGAATTGAAGGGGAAATTGGCATAACGCTGCGGTACAAGATATCAAAACATCCCTTCTTATTCAGAAACCTTGCGGAGATCTTGGGAGACAGCAGCAGCAATCAGGAATTAAGGAAGCTCGTGGCAGGAATCCTCAGAAACCTTGCCATTGACAGAGACACAAGGCAGGAGATTGGACAAATGCAAATGCTCATTACCATGCTGATGAAGGCATTCCTCGATTCTAGCAGATCATTTAGTTCAAATGTTGATTGCTTGTTGCCAAAGGTCGCCGGGCAAGCACTGGTAATGCTGTCATCAGAAAATCCACATAACTGCTTCGTTATGTTGAAGGAACCAGATTTCATTAATAAACTAAAAAATATGATCCTAATCCATGATGATAAATACATATATGTGGCAGTGAGTCTGTTGCGTAATATGTGCCTGCACGCTCAACCCGAGCTCACGGAATCAGACCTAAAGGAACTATCTCATACCTTGGGAGAGGTGAGCCCTGCTAATACATACTACAAGTGCAACATAGAGGTGTATATAATACGTATGATACTATCATTTGTGCAAGTGCAATATAGAGGTGTATAGCATGCCATATCATTTGTACATTTACTGTCTATTAATTTTTGTCATTTTTGGTAAAAAGAAGGGGGCGTTTATTTACCAATGAACTATATAAGTATAACTTAGTTTGTACAACTATATTATCATGCTACATGACATTGCTGGTTCCACTACAGGTGTTGGAACGAATAATGGACGCTGAAGGGGCAGAACTAGAAATCCTCATTGGCCTTAGTTCACAGATATGCAAACTCATTCCTGAAGAATTTTCCCAAGAGCTAGAGCATGGACAGATTAAGCGGAGATTCATTAAGAGGCTAGTGGACACACTGAATGCAAACATGAACCCAAGTTCTCATTGCCCTGGGATCCGGAGGGTGGTACTTGAGCAATCCATATACATGATGGAGTACAATTCTCACTATGCCAATTGTTTCAATGAATACCAGATGATGGACGCACTGTCAATTGTAGAATTGACGCCCTCAAGGGCTGAGAATTACATGGTTTTCTTGGGTGACACAGGTTTCATGGAATGTAACACACCTCTCTCTGCCCTAGCGGACAGGGCAAAAGAACTGATGGGTCGTCAGTGGCTGCAAGGCATCAACAGTGCCAACTGAAAAAAAATAAAATGATTTTGCATATATACAGTCAGAATACCTTGCATATTGTTAGTGCAGGGTAGACAAAGTGATTCTGCATTTACAGTCAGAAGACAACGCATGTTGCTAGAAAGAACATATATTTACCTTTAAGATGAGCAAAGGGTATTGTATCTGTACCTCATTAATCTTGCACTGTAATCTGTGTGCTATTGATGATTTATCCAATTATCATTTGTTGGAGTGGCCATATTGCAACTCCTATCCCACGTTCTAGCGTGTTCAAGTTTTGGCACTGCTTATTTCCATAAAATCTGTGGTTTATTCGACACCAGAAAATTGGGTTTTCTAACCTAGTGATTAACCCCATTCAACACAAGTTACTATGGCTGAGAAATTCAGACCATGACAATGCCCAACTTATGGAGTACAATGCTCCACTTTCTTGTTCTGTGCACAAAGCAACAATGTTGATTAATGTGAGCTCGACTCCTATTTAAGTCATGCGCCCATGTCAATGCAGTATGATGCCAATATCAATGTGCCCCGGTGCCTGATTTTCGTGGAGCACAGGGTTCTCAGATTCACATATACGTCTCTCATATTGAGACCAAAACTACGGTGCATTGAGTTTCTGCAACCCGGTTAACTACTATAATAAACTAGTAATCGAACAACACTCCCCAAGTTTCCACATCCCTAAGCACAACAGTCGATTCCAGCATAAACATGATTCTCTCTATTTTCTTCAACGCAAATATAACCATGATTAGAACTCAACCGAATTACCAAAGCAACGAGAAATTAAAAAAAAAATCAGTTTCATTGCCAAGCGAAGAGGATCCTATTTGGAATTCGGAAAAAAGGGGGGAGGGGAGCAACCGTTGGGGAATGGCATGGATGGTTCCCTCTCCCTCGCCGCGTCGGCTTCCCCTGGCCCGCCGCCCAGCCGGCACCGTCGCGACGAGCTGGTCGCCTCGCCTCGCCGCGCCGCCGCCGCCCGTCGCTCTTGTTATTAGTCGGTGGAGGCAGCCCGCAGGCAGAGGCATTTGCCCGGACCGTACGAAGTAGACAGAGGTAAGTGCCAGGCCATGGGCCTTGGCTAGTGTACATAGTAGATGGGCCTACCAGGTAATTGGGCCGGTTCCGAACAATGGAAATAGGGATTATCTAAACTTCCATACACCACATTTTTTTAAAAAAAAAAAGCCTTCCAAATGTAACTATATTTGTAATATAATTCTACCATAACTATTCTACTAGTAACATGCCCGTGCTAAACGCTACGGTGCAATTCTATTTTGTGTTAAATATTTTCTAAAATTTCATGTTAGCAAAAAATATTTTTATATGATCCGTGTATTTAAACTTTAATTCAATTCATATCGCGCATCAAATATATTTAATATATAGTACAACAATATGATATTGCGTAGGCACAATAAAACTTTACGAGTCATTCACGCATATATTTGGTCCTATGTTCTATATTTTTTTTACTATGCTCGATATTTCAGACCGATTGTCTTGGTACACTATCTTCAACCAAGTTTGACCGATTTATTTTAGTCAACTGCGAATGGTTGGATGGTACACTATCTTCAACCAAGTTTGACTCAACCTTTCGCTTTGCGCGTCATTCATGTTGTTTTCTATTTTTTTTTCTTTGGCTAACAATTCAGCTTGAGAAAGTGATTTTTGGCGTTGTAAATACAAAAGGACTAATAACTTGGTTGGACACGGCCTTTTTCCTTGTGTGGTATTCATGTTATTTTGCATTATTTTCATCCTTCCTACGTTGCACCTCAGAAAGTGTACATTGAGATAGGTAGCTGTGATTATTGCAAAACCAAACAGACAAGAGTAATGCTCCGGTGCAATCTACTTGCAGTATTCTACTCCAAGTAGAATTAATCTTGACCGTTTATTTTGAAGGGCGGGTAAGTAATCTCCTAATATCGTTTAGGGGTAATTTTGGCATGGGATGTTTTCTTCGGTTCGCATCGCATTAGGTCCGGACTCCATCACACGCAGTCACCTCGCTATTCCTCCCCCGGCCTCGCCGCCTTGTCCGCCCCCACCGTCGCCGTCCGTATCTCCCGCCGTCGCCGCCTTGTCCGCCTCCTCAGTCGCATCGTCCATATGGGAGCGGACGAGTGTGGCGGCGTCCGAGCGAGGATCTTGAGCAGGAGTTCTGGCGGTAGTAAAAATTCCGACGTGGGCTTCGGCGGCGGCGGCGTCACGCATGCACGCAACGTCATTTGCGTGGCGGCATCGTCTCGGCTCATTCGTCTTCTTGCCGTTCCGATCACTGCGTTGTTTCATGGATTATATGGATCAATTAAGATCTTGCACGACCAACTCCGACGAGGATGACATGGTGTTCGATCTATGGATTGTAAAATGATAATACCCCTACGCGAATTATTTTTCCTAGACGAAAACACCCCTCCACATTTCTACTTCCACTAATTCTGGTGGGAGTAGAACTAGATCTTAACCCTATAATTAAATATGATCGAGGGTCCAGATTACTTTCTACTCCGAGTAGAAAGCACCGGAGTGGGACTGAACAGACAATGCATGTAGCTCATAAACATCACGGGTGTATGTAGAACTGACCAACAAAGTATAAAATATCCGACGTGTTACAACACCGGAAGAAACATTTGTTATATCTTTGAAGGCAATGTGCCCCCATTTGGATCCATTCTTAACAGATACTCCCTCCCGTTTCATAATGTAAATCATTCTAGCATTACCCACATTCATATAAGTGTTAATGAATCTAGACATATATATATATATATATATATATATATATATATATATATATATATATATATTTATTAACATCTATATTTAGCAATGTTAAAATGACTTACATTATGAAACGGAAGAAGTATAATATAAACAAACTGAGTAGACAATAACAAGCTGATTGGTTCACTCCGTCAAAGCCAATAACAAAGCACAATATAATATATAACATTCTTATCGGTTTACTCTTTCAATCAACAGAAGCCTCTTGTGTACAAAGCATAATATTACAACGTATTAGAACCTCCGTGTTTGCTGAGACGACACAGTAGTAGGGGATGTGCAACGAGGACAACATCTGAATCTGTACAAAGGTTGTTCCCCTGAACAGGGTAAAAATTATTAACAATATCATTTGCAAAAGGAAGTAATATGGATTAAATGTAGCTAATACAATTCTAATCAATATGAAATTAAAATTGAGTAAAAAGTAACTCCACATGCTATATCTACCCATCAACTACCCCACATACTAAATTAAACAGCAAGTAAATATTCATTTTTTTCATTATAGCTATATTTCAATCACTTTTGCACAGATGCTTAACAGCCATTCCTAATATAATATTATAATGATTCATTATTCTGTTTTCGTGATCCCGTACAACGCAGCTGTTCCTTAATTAGGAAGCGTCGTCAAGTTGATCCAATGAAAAAAAAAACTAAACGATCAGGTCTGATAAACAATCAGATGATGGCGATGACAGACTACGATTTGCAAGGAAAACAAAATTGCAAACATGGCTAGAAAGCTGCTCACCGGGGTGGAACTCATGACCGCACTGCAACCTTGCCGTAGGCCACCATGTCGAGGCAGATCAAGCAAATTTTGATGAAGTTAAAAATGTATATAGTGGGAGGGAGGAAAATTAAACCGCAATGACAGTAACAAATTGAGTACATCTTGAAAACCCACTCAGAAAAATTAGGAACTGATATCGTCAAATTAAAAAAAATAGAACCTAGCAAAAATTTCTTGAGTGGATGTTGACGTTGACTGCAATTCATGCCTCACCAAATAAGCATTACAACAGTATATATACCCTATAATACTCTTATCTCAGCTGCGTAAATCAATTTATCATGGCAGTGAAAAATAGAAGAATATTTGACTCATAGAACTCAAATAATGGTGGGCCCTCGTAAGCTAAAAATACCGTAACCTAATTTAGTTCTATCTCACCTTTATCTGTTTACAAGACGCTCATTTCAACTTGTTATCCTAGTAATTAATTTCAGAAAGCAGGACACTATCTATCACATCCATTCCCTGAGTTTCAACTGTATTGCCACTAATTTAGCCCCTAATTGCCAGTTACCATGAAGAATTCAAGACCATTGTTTCATGACTTGAGCTCCAGGAAAGATGGAAATAATCTTTTTTAGAGATTCAAGAAGAAGGGAACACCTGCTGGTCTTGAATTGATAATCCTAAAAGGTGTTATCTAATTACATTACATCATCAGACAAAAAAAACAAAATCAGAAACAACGGAATCTGCTATCCCAAGTTCCCAACTGACATGCAATCTGTTATGCTGCCATCATGATTATCTGCAACAAGCCAACAAGGCTGCAACATCTCTATACACAATATTCTTAGTTGGTCAGTCATGCTTTGCATTAAGCTAATCTGCAGACTGCGGATCCACCATACTAATGTAAGTTATGAAGTTATAGAGTTAGTTACTGTTGAATTCCTCTTCCAAATAACAAATCAAGCAAGGCACAAAAGCAACTTTTCTTTCTAGTCCTGCACAAGAGACTATTTAAAACTGAAGTATTGAACTAAAAAACCCTTCATGTAGCAGTATTTCTCCGAAATCATTGACACCTTTAAGAACATTATTATAATTGTCATCAAAGCATATTCTCCATTTTGTATAGCTAGTTCCTAAAACAATCCCTACTTCCTGTGTAAGAATAATGCACTGTCACAAGCATATACAAGGTTCAACATAGTATCGGCAATGTGACCGATGCAAATCCTACAAAGAATAATATTCAAGATAGTTGTATTTAGGAAAAAGTACGAATTACCCCCCTGAACTATCACGGTCGTCCGAATTACCCCCCTGAACCACAAAACCGGACATTCTTCACCCCCAACTATGCAAACCGGACGAATTACCCGCCTCGACCCAATCCGCGGTGGTTTTGGTCTACGTGGCGTACACGTGGCATCCCAATCAGCGTTTTTTAATTAAAAAAATGATGGGACCCGCATGTCATACACTCCCACCTCTCTCTCTCTTCACTTTCCTCTCAATCTCTCTCTCTTCCCCTCTTCCTCTCAATCTCTCTCTCTCTGCAGGCATGTACGGTGGCATGCTTGCTGCGATAGTGATGATGCTTTTCATGGTTGATCCAGTCCTTCAACACGTGACGATCTTGCTCGATTTATGTGGTTTTGCCATACTGTCATTTGGCAACTTGCAGATTCCTGCAGC